GGTTTCGTAAATTTTCAGCGAGGCATCGCGGGACCATAACAACAACCATGATGAGTTTGGTTCTTAGAAAAACCCAGCTGATGATGAAACGAATTCCGACAAAATCCGCATGCAAACTGAAATGTTTGGAAACAAACGGTAAAAATGTGTAGTTCCGAGCCTGCAGAACCCCAGTGAACGCACTTGGGAAAATTTATCGACCAAGAATGGGTTCGTTTACGATTCTGAAATTACCGCACAACAGACTAGAGAATACAACCAATATCAGTCTGCCGTTAGAGGAAATTTTATCTGTACTCGCTGGAGAGGCCACCCGAAAGACTCGACCAACAAGGTGAGAAAAGAAACGCAAGCGTTGTAAGCGGTTTCAACAGGAGACTATAAAACTAGTGTCTTCCGAAGACGCGTCCCCGAAGAAAGACGACCGCACCAAATGACAAGCCACTCCAGCTCAGAACTATTGAATCACAGAAGTTAATGATTAAACTAACTGGACAGACGGAGTAATGAAAATTCGTCGGGACAAGTCACTGATACAATCTTCCACCTGAAGATGTTCCCCGCTGATCTCACACCAGGCAGGTAATTCAAACGGAGGTCTCACATGTTGTTGATTGGCCGATTGGCTATCAAGACCAGAGGCTGAAGATGAGGCCCCCAGGATCATGATTGGGGCCAATGGACTCGTCGTCCAACTGGATCCCGGAAGGTTGGTGTAGGTCCAACGGCAGCATCCTGTGTTACGGAAGGTTGCAGCCGCCTTGTTGGATGGAAGGAGCATTGAGAGCGGAGAGGGAGACAGGGAATTGGAAACGTTCCAGAGTCACTTTGATCGGCTGAGGCTGAATGAAGCTGGCATAATTTCCTGGAACGCTACTGATTCGGATGTTGTGCTGCCCGTGATACCTCGTGTCCTGAGACGGAAGCTTATCGTCGAATGCCATGAGATGGCACGACGTACGACCTACTTCGGCAGAGGGCCTACTGGCCGGGGATGAGAAGTGAGGTGATGGATTATGTGGTGTCCTGTAAGCAGTGCCAGTGTTGTGCGTTGCATGAATTGCGAGCAGGTTTCAAGTGTAACTCAACCCTCATATAGCAACAGCGCGAAATGGCAAGCGTTTGTCCCGAAGAGTATCGCTTCAACATACAAAGTGCCTGGAAAACTTGGAAGTTTTTCGTCCCTCTCCTTAGTATGGGTGGTATGCACTAAAAACGCAATAGATGACTGGACGGACGTTTTGCTACAGAGTGGGACGGTTGATCTAGAGATTGCCGGTTTCAGTGACTCAATACGCATACAGTTGAAGCTTCAGGTGAACGGTTCTACAGAATGGTGGGGTAGAATGGTGTTGGAATTTAATGGCCAAGAGAGTTCCATTTAGTCCTTTATCATCTTACCACGTATCATAGGCATGTTGATTCCAGTTTCGGTCACCAAAAAAAATGGTGGCGGGGGGTGACATAGTGAGTCAGTTCATACTGAATAAATCTGATGTAGGGGAGCTACTGAGCCAAGCCTGCCAGTGTCATTAACCAGCAAAGGTGTCCAAGGAACAGGTATCACGTAATCCCTCAGTACTATTGTAAGGAAATCACCAACTTCGGTGTGTAGTTGTTCCAATCCATGCTCCATGAGGAAAGCATGTACCGTCAATGAACTGGTCCGGTGGTCGTTCCGTGGAACACGAAATATTGTGATGAACTCAGAGATAATTCATTTTAGTCCCAGGCAATCCAAAGTACTGGATTGTGAATATATTTCAAAAGCTTTCAGAGAAGATAGCATAAAGCAGGAAAACGGACCAACAGAAAGTCAAAAAATCGCTCAGCTGTAACACCTTTTCGATGCCTAGTTGCCATGCCACTCAAAGGGAGCACAAGGGCTGGGATACTGTCAGGTCGCCCAAGCCTAGACAGGGGACGTAGAGAGGGAGAGGTCGGGTTCGGACCACGGGCCTTCCGGTCAGCAAATTCGCGCTCTAACCCCTTGGACCATCTCGCCAGCCGTTAGATCAAAGCGGTCGCTGTCCATCTTCTGCGTATACCATTTTGCAGGTTTTCAGAACCACACAAAGGGTGGAAACGAGCCAGGGGAGGTCATATAATGATTTGGCAGCGAAGTAGGAAAGCCATTACCAGTAAACTCAGCTGCGTTAGTCGCTGTCGTCTCCCAGGATGGGGAACTCGAGACGGGCCACATCAATGGTTAGAGACATTGTCAGATATGGCCCAGTCGCGCTCTCAATGGTGCTCGTGCATCCAAGCTACTGTCTTCAATGCATAGCTCCCTTCCCAATTCCTTCGTTTGACAGTCCACTGGCAGTGCTGTATTTACGCACCAATTTAGCAGCTTTCGCCTCCAATGCGCAGCTATCTACCCCAGCTCCTCAAATCATCGGCGAACGAAACTGCGGCGGCTACAACTACTGTACAACGGGTATGCGATTCTTATAGCTGATAATGATTTTTTTGGCATCATCAAGCTTTGATGGCATCGGTGGGCTACCACGCAGGTTCTTTTGGTTTCTCGATGTACGTCCTTTACCGGTTCTGGTCGTATGAAACAAGTTTGATGGAGGGGCATTTTGAAATGAAAATGATGAGATGAGATCACGCATCGGCATGCCACAGAACCTGTACAGCCTCAATCACGATCCCGTTTCCATCTCCTCGATACCCGTCCAAAATAATAATCTAGTAGAAATACAATTTACTCCACGTCATTAAACGACCGAACCTACAAGGCAATTGCTCGAATTTCTAAAACGTGATTGCTATCAGTAAACCTACATGCGGTGAATCAGCTGTCCCGCAATATTTTTTCTTGTGGCTACCGTACATGAAAAGATAGCGTTTAAACCGAAGGATTCTCTCTGTTTGACCGTTATCGTCGCGCCTCACCGGCGATGAGGTAGCCCTTGTGGGGATGCCAGCACAGAAACATCAGGAAACGGAGGCGGATGATTCATCATCATCATCCTGGTCTCGGGAGGAATCACCGTTCCCAACAGAAACTTTTTTTACTTGTCCGCATCTATCATTCGCAAACAAATTTGGTTTTTCGGGAGACTTACTTGGAATCCAGCTGAATGTCTCGTTTATGGTGTTTTTTAGTTTGGGTTCAGGTAGAGCATAAGGTTGACGGAAACTCGAGGATGATGAGATCCAAAAAGAGCGAAACCGGTCATGGGTTGTCGAAGAATTCTCAGCAACCTTACGAGTAGTGTATTACGTCTATACATCTTTCTTTTTGAACGCATCTCTTCCCTTCATAAACATAAAATTAAAAACTGACACCTGGTACTACGAAGCGCGTATGTCCAAGTAAGAATGCGAACGCTCAAGTAACTGCATCACTCATCACATCTCACAATTTCCTAACTTTATATGCTTTTCAAAGTTCCCCCGGAGTACAGTCCAGACACGTACGTCTGCCGATGAGGGGCATCCACTGGGAGTTCCCTCAATCTAAACGAAAGTGATGATACACTGCTGAACGCTCAAGTACAAAAGCCTAACCTGACTATTGCCAACTGAGTCATGCTCGCATACAGCACAATGTTTGTCAAAAGATCTCGAATCAGATTAGACTGAGAACAAGAAATGAAATTGAAAACATCACTAGTTACTTGAAAACCTCTCTTTATTACTTAAAACATAGGAATACATGAAAACACGTGACCCAACACACACATCATCTGTAGAAGACAAAAAAGGAAAGACAAATCTGTCGACGGTAGTAGAAAATAGCAATCGAGAATGGTTTTTGTTTCGTTCACGTTTGTTGCAAATAAAATGCCACCTTTTCATACACGCGTTTACAACCGGATACGGAAAACAACTGGGTATTTTCCGGAGACCACTCGAGTTCATCCAGGACGAAATTAACCAGGTTGTCCGTCAAGGGCACCTGACGTTGCACGGTAACGTCACGAATACACAGTCGGACATGTTCGGCTTGGAGTGGCAGAAATGGAACCATTGCAGTGATTAAGTGTTTTTGGATCAATTCGGAATAGCGAAGACCACCTGGAAGGAAAGAATATCGACCGAGGTCACGCAAAAAAAATCGATCAGTACCCTTTCGGTACCTAGCTGCTGTGCCACCCGAAAGAGGAACGAGGGCTGGGATACTGCCAGGTTGCCCAAGACTAGACAGGGAAGTCGAGAGGCACAGGTCGGGTTCGAAGCACGGACCTTCCGGTCAGTAAATTAGCGCTCGAGTCACCTGGGACACGCGTTTACAACCGGATACGGAAAACAACTGGGTATTTTCCGGAGACCACTCGAGTTCATCCAGGACGAAATTAACCAGGTTGTCCGTCAAGGGCACCTGACGTTGCACGGTAACGTCACGAATACACAGTCGGACATGTTCGGCTTGGAGTGGCAGAAATGGAACCATTGCAGTGATTAAGTGTTTTTGGATCAATTCGGAATAGCGAAGACCACCTGGAAGGAAAGGATATCGACCGAGGTCACGCAAAAAAAATCGATCAGTACCCTTTCGGTACCTAGCTGCTGTGCCACCCGAAAGAGGAACGAGGGCTGGGATACTGCCAGGTTGCCCAAGACTAGACAGGGAAGTCGAGAGGCACAGGTCGGGTTCGAAGCACGGACCTTCCGGTCAGTAAATTCGCGCTCGAGACACCTGGGCCATCTCACGCAGTTGGACAGCAAAAATGAAACGAGGCTACGAAGATCTGACTGCCTTGAATGACAAATAATATGGGATCAGCAAAGCATCAGTGTCGAACACCGATGTCATACTGCCGACGATGACGATGATCAGGTAAACGTTGCCCAGACGTGCGTTGAGATCTCCTCATTTGTTGACGTTAATCATCATTGGCATCAACACGAAGGAAGGACCTTGGCGCTTCACCACCGTACTACAACGTCAATTTGCTTGAATGAAGCATTATAACGCGAGGGAAACAATATAGGTTCTGGCCTATCACAAATATCCAACATCCCTACGTCTCCAACATTATTCCAGAAAATCTGGAAAAGAACTGGCAGAACGAACGCCATTGACGTCGCTTAGCCACCAGATCTTTCAGTGTCCCCAGCCAAGCGCGTAGAGATCCATCCCACAAGCATCAGCAGCACCGCGAATTTCGCAACAGCCTTCACTACTCACAACCCTCACTGAAGTACGACCACATAACGCAATTTTAGCTCATCTCTTACAATCGATTTCGTCAAACAAAAGTCCGTTGTCCCTCTGCACGTGATGCTCGGCGAAAATCGTTGGACGTTCCTCCTAACTTCATCCGTAAATTTGTCATTGCCTAAACCCTTCCTTACTGGACTGGTAGTTCGTCCCCTAGCTTCGCCGTGCTCTGAAAATAAGTACTACATGAGGGCAAGTGTTGGTCTGCAGTGACATCCCAAGAGTTTTCGTCAACAGCAAGTACCTGAAAGTCTGTTCACACATCTCGGAAGAAAACCTGTTGGTTAGAAAACTGAGTTGTACCGGCTGTCGATCTATTCAGGCAGTCACTTGGGTGCTGCAGAGTGATCAAAATGCTTTATCTGAGTAGTCATCGATCCTGGAAATCGCCTAAACCTGAGGCTCGATTTGGTCGAACGAACGAACAGGTCTGGCAAAATACATTTGCCTGAAAGGTAAATTGGTGTAAACGGCATTCAGCTAAATCCCAGCTGGACTGCTCATTTATGGCAATCTTTAACAGAATGTATCGCACAAAGTTGATATGATACAATAAATATCGAAGTATATTTTCCCAACACAACACACTACTTGGAAGGTTCGTGCAGTCTTGCTGGATGCAATAAGACACAATCCGATAAGACAAAAATACGCTATACCAGTTCGAATTCCCAAACAAGCGGCCCTCACTCCACGGAGTCTTGAACTGTGAGGATAGATCGAAGTCCCATATAAATGTACTGCGTTAGAAGTAAAAAACGTCCACAATTTCAGCAAATTCTGCCCCAAAAAGGGGACGCTGTAGTAATATCGTGGGTGTGGCGCATTAACAGAGTCCGTACTCACACTTACCATCATCGTTGAAGGCGGATTTCGTGATAATTCTATCCATATCAGTGTACAACAAATCTTCGCGTTTCTTGCCATCTTTTAGATGATCGTACAAGCGGCGATTGATGGAATTTCCCCCAGCATTGCTGAAACATCAGAGAAATGAATGGTTCGGTTAATCAAGTTGGAGAAAGATAACAGGCTAAGTGTTGAAAACACTCCAACAGATAGATTACAAAAGAGGGTTGTGAAAGACCTGCTCTTCAGAGTAGATGCATAGAGGGCGGGATGGCTCAAGTGGTTAAGAGCACGAATTTACTGACCGGAAGATCAGTGGTTCGAACCCGACCTCTGCCTCCCGACTTCCCCTGTCTAGGCTTGGGCAACCTGGCAGTATCGCAGCCGTCGTGCTTCTTTCGGGCGGTGTAGCAGTTGGGTACCGGAAGGGTGTTACAGCTGAACGGTTTTTTCAGATGCATAAGCTGCATGAAAGTGCATTGGGTAAACCACTGTGGGTGAGTAAGTGGATTCAACATGAAATAGACAAAACTGTTGAGATGAGTTAAGTGTTCGGTCGGGACGAAGCCCCCTACAAAACTGGGTGGGTTGGGAACTTAACCTCATGCTTGCGGATGAACCCATTGAGGTAGCACACAAGTTTGTCTACCTTGGAAGCTGTGTTAGGCCGGCAGCCGGATTAAGAAGACCAGATCAGCTTTTGTGGAACTGCGTCACCCGTCGCGTACGCGTGACATCAGCTTATCCGCCAATGGTCGAGTTTAGAATACTGCAAAGCGATCCGTATTCCAACACGGGTCAGAAACCTGGCCGCCGAGCGCCAAGAACGTCAAAAAAACTCAGTGTTTGACAATCGATGTCTTCGGAGCATTGTCTGAACCTGGTGGCAATACCGGATCAGTAATGCTGAGTTCATCGAATAGTTTTCGCCCACGATAGATGAACTGATCACCCTACACAGGTTGCGCTAGCTTGACCACGTGCTTCGTGTGCCAGTCGACCGGCATACCCCTAGGGTTCTTTTCCCACAACCACGTGAAGGGTAAAAATGAGCCACGGGAGGTAACCCAATGAATTTGCAGCGAAGTACGAAAGCCATTGCCGGCAAACTCAGCTGCGTTGGTCATCGCCGTCATCCTGGATGGAGACACCGAGACAGGACACATCAATGGTTGAAGACACTGTCAGATATGGCCCAGTCGCGCCCTCAATGGCGCTCGTGCGTCCAAGGGATTGCCTTCAACGCATAGCTCCCTTCCCAACCCCCCGACTTAACAGTCCTGCATTTACGCAGAAACTTATCAGCTCCCACCTACAATGCGCAGCTACTTACCCTCCCCAAATCACCGGTGAACAAAACTATGGTAGCTACAACCACTATACGACAAGTACGCGGCTTCGTACAGCTGATGATGACAGTTTCGTCACAAATGAATTAATTGGAGCATCGGATAAGTACCGTTGATAGATACTGTTGTTGCATCAGATAGCTTTCTGGGGAAGACACTTACAGAAGCCAGTCCAAGCAAGAATGCGGTCAGTTGATAACCTGACAATAGCGTCGAACCCAGTGGCTTGAATACGGCAAATTGTGACAAGAAACGCGGGCATCCAGAAACCATGTTGAACAGTGACACAAGATCAGCAAGGCGACAAGCGATCTACTTGAAATGAAGCTAAATCAGACTAGTTCACCTATGCACGTGTACTCCAGAACGGAAGGGTCACCCGACAGATCTTCAATCACACGAGTGCAGCGAGAATTGAGAAAAAAGGGGACCCGCATGCCTTAGAAAGGATCGGTTTTTGTGGGACGTCAACATATTCACGCATATTCATAAACGTCAACAACTGAGCTTAGCTAACCTTGCCCCTTCTGAGCTCGTACCTGCCCGACCCAACGGAAAGACAGTCAGTAACTAGTCAGCCACTGGAACACCACCAGGTTACTTATTATCACCCAAACTATACGCCAGTGAGAGATCTTCGAAAAGGACAGGCGTGGTAGACAAGTATTACTGCTGGTGTTCATCGTTACTCAATCATGGTCAGGCCGGGTGGCGATCAGCAGCAGATCGCCGCGTCTCTATGGTGACATCCACTGAATATACATGGAATCAGTCCCATATGAACTACCGCATGGACGTCCAAAGTTCCAACTATTTCTGAACGGTAAATCCGTCATGAACGGTGGTTGCTCACTGAGGTTGATTGTACGGTTGTCGCTGGTGTCGTAGGAGTTCCTTTTATTGAATAGCTCGAGGTGATAGGGATGAGAACATAGCGAACAGCTTGTGGCTCCAAAGAACACCAGTTCACCCCCCGATGAATAATTACACAGGAAGCTCACCTACTGGCAGGATTCTTAATGAAAGCCAACTTAGTAACTGACATAGCAAATATTAGTGGATTACATAAAGTTGTGCGGGTGAAAAGTCGAACATACAAAACTATCAGTTCAGGAGAAATGATGGAAATCAAATTAAATACCTCAAAAATAAGAATATTGATCGCCGAAAATCGACACCGTCAATAGATTCGTGAAAATCCAATAGAGGAGCCAAGACATCGAGGAGGCCACTTGGCATGTTGTGCATCTCGTCAAAAACGAACACGGAATAAGGACAGGCTGAGACGGCTTCGCGCAATTCTTTATGAAGCCTCACCTAGATTTATAGGGAAGAAAGTTGGATGACAGCGCTTGATCAGAGTTCTGGTGTACAGCGAAGACTAAAAAATGAAATGAGCAGGCTTCCCTATCCACTAACCCTACGAAGCACAAGTCATGCCCTCAACAAACCACGGGTCAGCTCTAAAACAACAATCTTACACTCCTCGCTCAGCTGTGAGACAATATTCTGGAATTCACCCCTTGCGTAATCTGAAATCTGTGCCTATTTGTACTTTCTAACTCTTCCATCAATACACTAGTACCACTTCTGCCATGGGTTCTAGGATGCCATTTTTTGTTAGGAGCTTCGTCATCATCATCGACAGCATGACATCAGTGTTCAACACCGATGCTTCACTGCCGTATTGTTAGGAGGTTTGTGAATAACGACAAAGTGGACAAACCTGACAGGGAATTCGTGTGTCGCACTCCACCGATACGCAGGGCACCAACAGTCGGTCACCGTATTGTTAGGAGGTTTGTGAATAACGATAAAGTGGACAAACCTGACAGGGAATTCGTATATCGCACTCCACCGATACGCAGGGCACCGACAGTCGGTCGGATTCGCGTTCAAACTAAACCCAGCTTATCTGTCCCCAACAGGTAGGTTGACAAAAATATCAAAAGCAATACACTAGCGTTTGCCATCAGGGGTTCAATACTCCACCCATACGAGAAAAGGATTCCCTAGTGAAAAAAGTACAAACTGAGAGAAGTTAGTAAAACAAAGAGTCCTCAGGAGATGATCCAGGACGAGGTACACGACTCTATCCAAAGAAGTATACGTTGCTGAGAACGAAGCGTGGTGTGGAATCACACAACAGTTGAGGAAGGATCGTTCTATCGTTTGTCTTGCTGACCACAAAACTTGGCTGCAGAGGAGACCTCACACTACACCTCCTTTTGTTGTTGTTTCGAGAGTAAAAGTGCCTTTATTGTTCTCCTTCTTCGGTTACCAACCATTTGCCCAAGGTCACAAGTTAAAAATCTTCTGGCAATGATTTCAGATATTTGGAGACGTGATAACGATAACTTGAACCCAATCTTCAACTGTATAAAGTAATCTTACTGTTTCCAAACACCCGCAAACCAACGAGTCAATGTGTGGAGGCTGACTGAAATACTGAAGTTAATGGCAAATTGCTAAACAAGCTAGGGAGGGATAACACTTACCTTGTACTCGTGCACTTTTTGACGATGAGCGAAGTGAATTGTTGAGTCGTAGAAGTGAAAGAATCGGCTCTTTGTGCCCCGTTTGAACACGTGGGATGCGATAAGATTGGAAACGAAATTCTTTCCCACCCCTGTGTAGCCATGAAAGGAAAGAGCCAGTGCTTTTGGTGGATTGCGATCTAGCATATGAGCAGATAAGTGATGGAACACTCGTTCAGTGACAATGTGTTGACCGTGCAGATGGTGCGTCAGTACATGCTTCAGACCGGTTTGATTAAACCAAACCCCTTGAGAACAGCACTCACGGAGGAGACATTCGATTCCGTCCCTTGCTAGAAAAGCTGCCAGTAACCCGGATACAGGAACGAGAGCGACAAAAGGAAATGCCGAAATATTTGTCACGAAGGATAGCAAAACAAGGAGCAGAAACGTCGTAGAAGGCATCTGAATTGTAACATCACCCACTAGGGAGTTTCAAAATCTGCTCGTGAAAACAGCTGGTTAAAAAATAAAAATGTAGATGATTTTCTCATATATTCAGTTTCACAAATGACTGAGTCATTCAGGACAATTGCTAAATTAAACGGAGGGTACACACGACTATAAAGAACCTAGTAATAGTTTCCACTTAGGTATGTTGATAGGCCTAAGTGCCGCAACGATTCGATATGTTATAGCCTGGAAACTCGCCCTTGGGTTCACCATGCTAGAATCCTCAGAGACAGCCAAAAGGCAGCGAGCCCGATACTGCAAGCAATCGATCTAGAAATAAAGTCGCGTGGTCTCAGGCAATGAGAGTGTGAAGGAGGTGGCTTCTCCAGAGGAACAGCACTTCCTTTTCTAGGAAGATAATAATGAAAGGTCAGTTCTCGGATACCATACCTTACTCCCTGTGCTCGACCGAGCGAGTCGGGATTTTGAGTCACTGGTTCAAGGTTCTCCGAAAAATTCCCAACTTCAGCCGCTTGGGTTGAAGGCTAAGACGGGGGCTCCTCGAAAGGACCATCAAATATTCTTACTAATTCAAAGGTCGGATTTTGAGTGGAAGAACCGAAGTAGACTAACTCTAATAAACTCCTGCTTGACCTGGGAAACAGCAAAGTAGCAGCTGCCTTTGTAGTTCGTTGTTCGCCTATCATCCCTCACACTTCCTTCCCACAGTTCAAGTGGCCCGCTCCGGCCAGTCCAGCTATCAATCGTTTAACCATTGTTCCGTATGTGCTGCCACAAACCGATCTTGATGACATGGCTCATATGTTTTGTGATATTCAGGCTGAAAAACCCCTACTGAAGTGAACCCAAATAAACATGAGTCCGTGCTGCGCGGCTTCCTTGCTCAATTTGAATGATTACAGCTCAGTGCGGTGGATAATTTTCGTTCTTAGTGCCAGCATACGCTCTTAAAGATTGCAACTCTGGAGCCCTCTCGCAACAAATGACTCCACAGTCTGGCTGAAGAGGGATGACCTGACCTGAAGGTGAAGTGTATAACTCCAAACATGAATGAACACCTCTTGAGCAACGCCAAACTCAAAGGTATTAAACAATGCAACGTCAGGCGATCGGGGTGTGCGGGTTTCACGGCTGAGCCGTCCCTCCTGGGGGCATGAGTGCAGCAACGCTGCTTCTTAATGCCTTGATACTTCTGTCGCAGAGGAAAGTACAACATCGACTCCAGGTCACCTCGTAATTCGGCGTCGCGCAGTACTCGACGTGCTGTTCTAAGTAGAACTGGTCCATGTTGGTCTTGCTGGCATATTTGAACCCTAACAAACTGAATTCCAGCCAGTGGAATCTGCAGGATCACTGGAGCATTGATGCCAGACCACCACAAGGTAACAGCTTTAGGTCGGGATACTGCGAACAGCATTTTGTTGGATGAAAGCGCCTCGGGCTTCAAAAGCGGGCAAAGAAGCTCCAAACCGTAAGCCAATAACAAAACAAAGAATAGGGCAACATAGAACCCTGGAAGATCAAGATGCTTCCAGGGCATTCGTTCACAGGCGTTGAATACGCGAATAATATTGCTCTCCTTGATACAGATCCTTCAAAGATGTCATTTCGAATAATCTAAATAATTCTGCCGCACGAAACTTCAAACCTACACAGTGTAAATTGCTGCTACAAGGCTGGGTGGGACCAAACTCAAACGTGCTTTAAGACCGCTAAATCGATGTGGCTGTGTGACTTCCTGGAGAAGAGACCACTTCTCGACTCAGGAAGGCCAGGGCAACTTTTGCCAATCTCCGACACCTAAGGTAGCAGTGCAACAGCTTGTCTGTCGAGAGCAGGGTGTTCACTAAAACGGTATCCCCATACGCAAAGGAAGCACAAAGACTCTGTGTTTGGTCATTAATGTCTTTGAAGCATTAGTCGAGTCTGGATTAACAACGCTGAGCTGAACCAGATGGTTGTAGGAAGGGACTCTACCGCGATGGATAAGCTATTCATTCACTCCACAGGTCAAATAAGTCAGATGTACTTCATATGCTAGAGGACCGTCTGACTCGCAGAGCTCCTTTTGGTCAGCCATACGCCAAGCGGAAGCAACCGGAGTGAACAACCTGGTAACGAAGTATGAAAGCAGTAACCAGTAAACTTAAATAAATCATTCAGCTGTAGCACTCTTTCGGTGCATAGCTGCCATACCACACGGAGGCACGACGGCTGGGATACTGTCAGGTTGCCTAAGCCTAGACAGGGGAAGTCGATAGGCAGAGGTCGGGTTCGAACAACAGACCTTCCGGTCAGTAAACTCGCGCTCTAACCACTCGGGCCATCTCATCCACCACTCAAATCTTCCGCTCCGAGTTCGCTATTCAGGCCCGTTTTCCTGCTT